TGTCGGGGCCTGTTTGCGGATTTATCTGACGAAGCACGGAGGGCAGCGCTGGGTAATAAAATTTAAAACCCAGCGTTACTCAGTGAGTCCACAGGGGTTGGAGTAATCATCATACTGACCACAAAAGGAAGTGAAATAAAGGTGTAGCGTTGCATGCTCTGGGGAAGTAATAAAATTACCTACTGATATGTTGTCGATTTGAGTCATTTTTGCTGACTCCACCGACTCCCCAGTTCAAGAACTACCGGCGAGAGCCCAGCACAGGGCCACTGGGATGATTAGGGGACTGGAGCATCTGCCCTATGAGGAAAGGCCAAGTGAGATGGGTCTGTTTAGCTTAGAGAAAAGGAGGCTGAGAGGATCTCTTCCATGTTTATAAATACCTAAAGGGTGGGTGTCAGGAGGGTTGGGCCAGACTCTTCTCCGCGGTGTCCAGTGACAGGGCAAGGGACAATGGTCACAAGCTGGTACACAAGAGGTTTCATCTGAATATGAGAAAATGCTTTCCTCTGAGGGCAAAAGAGCACTGGGACAAGCTGCCCAGGGAGGCTGTGGAGTCTTCATCCCTGGAGACGTTCAAAACCCACCTGTGCAATCTGCTCTAGGGGATGCTGCTCTGACAGTGGGGTTGGATGAGATGATCTCCAGAGGTCCCTTCCAGTCCCTAACATTCCGTGTTTCTGTGTGATTCTGTCAGAGGCTGCAGAGGAAAGTGCTAAACAGAAGGCCTTGGGCTTCTGAGAAAAGTGCCTCAGAGCTGCGAGTATGTTCCTTGGGACCCAGAGTAGCCACTGGCATTCCCTTTGGTTCCTGAACCCACTCCATCCTGCTTCCTCTGCTCCTTCTTCATCTCTGATGTGATATATCCTGCTAATACCTCCTCTCACTGCAACACTTGCCTGTCATGATTCTGCACCTCTGTACCAGCCACCCTTCCATCCTAGATCTTTTAAAAAAAACCCTATTGCTCCCATCAGTAATTGCTCTGAGTCCTTATCCATCCAACACTTACTTGAGGCTCACACTACGGTTTAAACACAGTCCATTAACAATTCCTTTAAACCATTAAAACAACAAGATCCCTGCCAAACAGCAAATGTCTCCTTGCTCTTGTGCTGCATTCCTTTCTTCACTTAACTGTATTCTTGCACTGCTTTCCATCCTTCCCCCCAGTTTAAAGGTCTTCTGGCCAATGAGACTTTTTTTTTTTTTTTTTTTTTGTAAATTTTTTAGAACCCTTCCACCCCACGAACTACATAAATTAGAACAGATTTTTCTTGCTGAGGGCATTTTGCTGTTTGACCACCAGTGTCCTCACACCTGGCGTTGTACGCTCCTGCCTCGGGAATGCGACGGATCAGTCTATGAGTCTGAACAGGTGCCCCTATCCTAAGCACCAAGCCAACCTGGAGACTACAGTTCAGTCAAAGTGTTTTATTCCACACACCTTGTGGATATAAGACCATGCTGCCCAAGCTGATGTTTCCTGATTGCTCTCAGTTGGCCTGCAGACAGGGCAAGGTTTTTATGTTGCTCCTAGAGGGATGTGTGGATGCCTTCAGCTGATAGGTGTCTATGCCACTTCTGGCAGAGAAAGTCTCTCAAGGGTGGATTGCCAGAAGCTGGGAAATCTTACAGGAAGAATGACTGCATCACCTGGGTTTTTTTTGTTTCCCCTGAACAAGGGTGCTGTTGGAGAAATGGCACTAGGCTTGACAGCTTTGCTTTCTGCTCTTCCTAGATACCTGCTGAGCTGGGGCAGTGAGCATGGGAGTCTTCAGTGTCATTACTTGCTCCAAAGAACATCTCCCTTTATGGATTAAGCACATTGGTTATTGTACCCAAAAAGTAAAAAATACCACGAATTACATTCAGATAAAAGGGGAAATCCTTCCCCTATTTTGCCTGCTGCTACCAACTCTATCCATTCTCTCTTGAGCCCCTTCATCTCCCCAGGAGGAAACACACAGATTTTGTTTTGGTTTGATTTTATTCCACCATTTATTTCTTCTGTTTTTCCCTTGGATTTCCATTCCCTTACTGAGGACACACATACTCATTCTCTAAACAGGCACACATATATATATATATACAGTAAGGCACAATCACTCACATCCAGATGGGACACTCTGCTGAGAGAAGAAACAGGGTACAGCAGATGATTGCAGCCTGCCCTGGAATACAAGCTTTAACAAACAGATTAAAATGAATTAAAAGGCAACAATGCTCCCAATACAGCTCAAAAAGATGGGGGAGTCGTGTTTGCCGAGCAAACCATGCTATGCAGGAGGGGCAACACGGCTGGTTCTCGGCAAATGATACCTCAAAGCTGCCACCTGGGTAAAAGAAAGGCAGGGATGGAGCCACTTATTTCCTTGCAGTTTTAGAGCTGGTGAACAGAACAGAAAGGAGATATCCCTCAGATCCCGGGGTTTGTAACACTGTGGTGTTGCAGAACCCACTCAAGGATGGATGTGGACTGTGCTGTGTAAAACGCCTGTGCCTGTCCGGAGAGAAAGGGAACCCCCAAGCCTGCGACTCTGCTCAGCTTAAAGTTTGCCAGGACGAGGTTTGTGAGGGATGAAGAGGAGCTGGCTGGTTCTGCCCTTGGTCTCTGTAGCTGCATCTGTTTCTTGGGTAGCAGGTGGCTGATGGCGGGTTCAAGCACTGGCTCCTGATGGGTCACACCACCCAACAGCCAGCTGGCTCCTTGGCTCAGCTTTGGACGAGTCTGGCTTGCTGTCTCCAGCTCCACTTTTCCACAGCTCCACACCACGCTGTGGGCGTGAGCCCCGTGACCTTAAGCCAGTTCAGTATTGCAGATACAGCCTCAAGCAACTACTGTCAGGAAACCTGCCAGGTGAGGGTCTGTTACCTACTCTTCCTTGCATAACTTATTTCTTACAGGTAACAAATACTCTCCATATGGAAAAGTTTTTCTTGTCTTAGCAACTAACAGACCCATCACTTAACTAGTACACCAGGAGTCAATGCAAAGCTATTCCAATGCCTCAGTACTTAGGAGGGACTGGCTTTCCTTCACCAATTCATATTCAGTCAGGTCATACAACTGGAAACTCAGCCATCTAAGACCTCTTCTCTGACGCACATACAGTTGATTGGCTGTTTCCAGTAAGCGACTATCACGAGTGCCATTCAGTGGCCACCCACTGAAAATCTCAAGAGAGACTCAAAAGGTTGGATAGGGTCTGGAAGTGATGAAAGACTGATGGGCAGGTGGCCTTTCTAAATCTAAATATGAACTGGAGCACAGAGCCAGGTAAGAAAACTTGCCCTATTGACTTATGCAGCACATCTTTGCTCTGCATCAAATCTGTTGGTTGTTACTTTCCACCAGCACCAAAACCACCCCAGAGTTGAAGCACACAGCCCACCATAGCTGGCTCTTTCACAGATGAGTTGATTTCACAGCTCGACCCCCACTTCAAAGGGATTTTGTGCTTTATGAACAATGTCCTAAGAGTTTTCCCTGTCTTTAGGGTTCACATTGTCTGCCATAGAGCATATATGGAGAAAACATACTTTTTTTTTCCTACTGTTAAAACATTATTCACTGAAATTTGAAAACACAAAATATTTCAAAAGAAGCTACCAAAAAGGCACAATATTTGTACATATGCAACTGATGAACTTCATCTAAGACCAATGCAGGGGAGAAGAAAAAGACATTTTGGAGTAGGATGAAGGAGCAGGGGGCCCAGGAGTGGTGGTGACTGTCAACTCCAGGATAGCACATATCAGGTCTCTCACTCCTTGAATATCAACAGGGAAAATCAGCCAACACCTCAGTTTTAAACTCTGCAGCAGTTGCAAGCCAGTCTCTGGTTCCAACTGTCCCAAAATATGATGGTGCAAAGCAGAGTGCCAGGAAGCAGCTGCTCAGCTCAGGGATGAGTCTGGACCTCAGGGGGTATCCATATTCTGCTCTTCTCCTGCCACTGAAGGTTTTCCAGTAGCTTCCACCTCCATTGGGTTAGATGGCTCCTATTCACATGTTAAGTCTCCTGTGCCCTGTCTGGGTACGTCCTTTTGAGAGAAGAAATGCAAGAAAATGATGAAAAATAATCATGGGTCTAAGTAAATACATTCCTGAGGACCCTGTGACCTGGGGGCACTTGAGTAGTTTCCATGCTAGGAGGAAAAGACAAGCTGCAGTCTGAGCACCAGCCTGCTTCCTTCAGTTGCTCCTTGCCAAACCAAGGAGGCACCTGAAAAGCAGACAGGTGGTTGAGGTGGAATGAGATATTTCCTCAAGCATCTGCAACTACATTATCAGCGGCTAGAGAATATAAGTGGTTAGAGAATATATAAGAAGCTACATAGAACAGGCCCTGCTTTAGCCTGTGGAAATCCTCTTTTAATTTCAAGTGGCAGAGGCCCGTGTTTGCTTGCCTGCAGGGCAGATCAAGAAGTATGTGTGCAAACATTATTTTTGCTGACAAAGCTAACAAGCTAAACACTTAAGAGTATGTATGTACTCGTACATATATGTGTGCACACATGCATATAAATGTGTATATGCAAGGAGGCATATTGATATAATATATACATGGTTACTGCTGGGGAAAAAATGCTTTTTACTGTAACTATTTTCAAATTGCTTTCAAAACAGCAAGTGAGCAGGGTGCTTACTGAGCAGAGTCTTCTTTTACTGAAGCCAGAATCAGCTTTGCTTCTTCTCCATTCTCTCTCTGTGTAACACCCCCTGGGAGGGCTGGTTGTTTTAAATACCCTGCCTTGCAGCTTCTGCAGGCCTGAGATGTGATACTTTTGAGATGTGGGGAACAGCAGCGACATTGGTGTGTCCTGCCACAGTTGCCATTTTCATTAGTAAGCAAAGCCCTCTGATATTTTATTTTAGGAGCCACCACCATGCCGACCCACCTTACCTGTGCATCACTGTTACCCTGAGCTCTGGTCCTGCGTGGCTGGCGCTGAAGGCTCCCTGGCTGCCTCCGAGCCCCCGGCCTCCTGCCGCCGCTCAGGTGCCACTGGTGTTTCTTCAGTGTCTGACGTTCGCTGTGCATCTGTGCTCTCACGGGTCTCCTTCGCTTCAGCTTTAGTTTCAGCTTCTTCCTTCTCCTTGTCCCCTTTTTCCTGTTCACAGGAACCGTCTTCCTGCTCTTCTGCCTGGGGACCCTCACACACCTTCTCCTCCTTGTCTCCAGAGGAAGGCTGGAGAGAGTTCTTCTCTCCTGGGGCACCCTGACACAACTCCTCCTCCTCCTTTGTATCCCCCATGTCACTTTTGCAAGGGGTAATTTTCTCTGCCTGTTTTCCCCCTTTTTCTTCATCTTCTGATCTGGATCCTTTTCTTGATGGGGGCTTCTCGATCTGTTTCTTTTGCTCTTTGCTCCCTGTTTCTGCGTCCTCTGCCTTGCCCTTGTGCGCAAACACCTCATCCCCATCTTCCTTGGCACCATTTTCTGGAGAGGAGATGTTGACCCCTAAATCTTCCGCGTCTCCGTACTCGGACAGGGACCTTCGGAACCTTCTGGAGGGAGGCCTGCGCTTTATTGATCCCCGTGTCCGCACCTTGGAGGCAGGAAAAGCAGATACAGAAGCAGTCAAGAGAGCAGTACTGGAAAGCAGGAAAGCAAAACAGAGGGAAATACCATGGGAAACTTGATTGCTACCCTGGTGGCCTCAGTTTTCCTGCTCTGCCACTGAGACGTAAGGAGAAGAGGGCTCTCTGCTGCTGAGAGACTGCTTTATAGGACAGGTAGCTGCCTAATTAATACATGCCTCCCCTCCTTCTGTAAAGATGGTGTTGGAGATCACTGTTCTGATTTTAACTGTGGCTCCTTGTCCAAGTTAGACCCCAAACCCAAGGATGCTGCATTCATTACGCAGACGTTGCTGACTTGGGCCGTCTTGGGCTTTTCTGCTTTTGGCAGCTTGGTGGTTGAGGAAGGAGCCTGCACTCCAGCTGATGATGGTGAACCCAGGCTGCAGTTCCCCAGTGAAGTGCTGTGCACTCTGTGGGACACCTGGCAAACCGAGCTGCACTGCGTGGCTCCCTGAACTTCACCTCAGCCACCTCTGACATTTGCTGCCACCACATCTACGTGCTTTTTTAAATACCTCCAGGGATGGTGACCCAACCGCTTCCCTGGACAGCCTGTTCCAGTGCCTGACAAATCCATTTGGTGAAGACATTCAGCCCTATCCACTGGGGCAGGAAGGGCACTGGAGCTGCTGGACCGAGAAGCCCCGTGTGCAGGTGTGCAGAGAGGAGGCCCCAGAGAGCAGCACCGAGAGGCTGTTTTGAACCCAGCACGTCGATCTCCTCCACTGGCCACAGCGTTATGGCAGCACTGAGGGCTGGGGCCTCCTCTTTCTTCTTCCCCACCCCCAAGCGGTAAGCAAAGCTTTATCCCACCCTACCTTGTTGTAGAACTGCAGCTGAGTGCCTTCTGGGGGCTGATCGAAGCTGACGGGCATCTCGCCCTCCTCCCCGGGCTGGGGCTGAACCCCGGGGCTGCTGGGCGTCGAGGGGGGGGTGCCGAACGGGGACACCAGGGCTTTGTGCTTTTTTAAATACCTCCAGGGATGGTGACCCAACCGCTTCCCTGGACAGCCTGTTCCAGTGCCTGACAATCCATTTGGTGAAGACATTCAGCCCTATCCACTGGGGCAGGAAGGGCACTGGAGCTGCTGGACCGAGAAGCCCCGTGTGCAGGTGTGCAGAGAGGAGGCCCCAGAGAGCTGCACCGAGAGGCTGTTTTGAACCCAGCACGTCGATCTCCTCCACTGGCCACAGCGTTATGGCAGCACTGAGGGCTGGGGCCTCCTCTTTCTTCTTCCCCACCCCCAAGCGGTAAGCAAAGCTTTATCCCACCCTACCTTGTTGTAGAACTGCAGCTGAGTGCCTTCTGGGGGCTGATCGAAGCTGACGGGCATCTCGCCCTCCTCCCCGGGCTGGGGCTGAACCCCGGGGCTGCTGGGCGTCGAGGGGGGGGTGCCGAACGGGGACACCAGGGCTTTCAGACCAGGGCTTTTGGGAGACGCTCCCGGCAGCAGGGCGGCTGGAGCAAAAGCCAGGTTGGCCTGCAAAGGAAAAACCCCCGGTCACTGGCGTGCGGGACACCTGCGTGTCTGACACCGGCGTGTCTGACACCTGCGTGTCTGACACCTGCGTGCGGGACACCGGCGTGCAGGACACCTGCGTGCGGGACACGGGCGTGTCTGACACCGGCGTGCGGGACACCGACGTGCGGGACACCTGCATGCGGGACACCGGCGTGTCTGACACCGGCGTGCGGGACACCCGGGGG